AGTTTGTATACACAGACATACTAAAGCATGTCATGTTACCCTATATGGAAAACAATATGCCCTTAAGATCAATCTTCCAGCAAGATAATGACCCGAAGCACACTTCAAGTTTTGCAAAGAAATTCTTTCTTCTTCCAATATAAACCCCTTTACGGTTATAGCCGCTTGCTGTGGTACTTTAAGCCCAAAGGATCTACAAAGAGAATATGATCATGCGGAGAAAAGTATATAACAACAAGTAGGAAAATAATGGGCAAAATCCGCAAAAAGGAGGAAAGTAACCAGCCGCGTGGTGGTGGTTAGACGTCTCCTTGAAAATTCGAGGTGGTATAGCCATTTTATACTACAATGTGTAGGTTGGCTCTTGTTGTGGACTTCGTGTGTCGTTTTTTTTCCTCCAACTTCGTTTCCTCAGGTTACACCCGTATCCGGATGTATGGGCATGTGTATCTACTTTTGTAGTTTCATATGTGCATTCATTTCGGGCCTGTTGAAGCCAACCAGCAGAAATACGTATCGCTCGGGTTACCTATCCTATTTTCTGCTCGAATCCACTTTCCTCCTTTTTGCGGATTTTGCCCATTATTTTCCTACTTGTTGTTATATTCTTTTCTCCGCATGATCGTATTCTCTTTGTAGATCCTTTGGGCTTGAAGTACCACAGCAAGTGACTATAACCGGCCGCGTGGTGGTGTTTTTTTTTTTTTTTTTTATACTCCAACTACCACGAAGGCCTAAGGCCTAAGCACCCATTGGGTACCGTGGGGCTATGGGGGATACATGGGAAAGGGGGGACGCCACACGGACTCTGGCGAGGGAACACGTGTGCATGCACACATTCTGGCTCCGCCTACGAGAACCGCCGGGTGGTACCTCCGCGTTCGACAGTCAGAGACCATCTACCACCTACGGACAATCACAACATCCATGGCCAAGAGAAACATTTCTCCTGGGACGGGACTCGAACCCGCACAGCGCACGGCGGCTGATCAGGAGACCGAAGAGTCTACTACTGCGGCCACCGCTGCTGCCTAAAACAAACACACAACATCCATGGCGAAGGCGAGATTCGAACTCGCGGCGCGGCCGGCCGGCTGATCAGTAGCACGACACTCTGACCCACGCGGCCAACCGAGGTCCCATAAGACGTCTCCTTGAAAATTCGAGGTCGTATAGCCATTTTATACTACAATGTGTAGGTTGGCTCTTGTTGTAGACTTCGTGTGTCGTTTTTTTTTCCTCCAACTTCGTTTCCTCAGGTTACACCCGTATCCGGATGTGTGGGCATGTGTATCTACTTTTGTAGTTTCATATGTGCATTCATTTCGGGCCTGATGAAGCCAACCAGCAGACATACGTATCGCTCGGGTTACCTATCCTATTTTCTGCTCGAATCCACTTTCCTCCTTTTTGCGGATTTTGCCCATTATTTTCCTACTTGTTGTTATATACTTTTCTCCGCATGATCATATTCTCTTTGTAGATCCTTTGGGCTTGAAGTACCACAGCAAGTGGCTATAACCGGCCGCGTGGTGGTTGTTAGACGTCTCCTTGAAAATTCGAGGTCGTATATCCATTTTATACTACAATGTGTAGGTTGGCTCTTGTTGTGGACTTCGTGTGTCGTTTTTTCCCCTCCAACTTCGTTTCCTCAGGTTACACCCGTATCCGGATCTATGGGCATGTGTATCTACTTTTGTAGTTTCATATGTGCATTCATTTCGGGCCTGATGAAGCCAACCAGCAGAAATACGTATCGCTCGGGTTACCTATCCTATTTTCTGCTCGAATCCACTTTCCTCCTTTTTGCGGATTTTGCCCATTATTTTCCTACTTGTTGTTATATACTTTTCTCCGTATGGTCATATTCTCTATATATATATATATTTGAGAGAAAAAACATATATTTGAGAAAAAAAAACACATACAATTTGCAAAAACAAACTCTAATTGGCATTAACTAGGTATATAAGGTTAGGCTTGAAACAACAAATTTTTTATTATTACAAACATTATAAAAAAGTTATTGTTACTCAAGAATGTCTTTCAATTCTGGAACGTCAAATAAGGCTCGCTTTCCATGCTGCATTGGAGCGTTTATGCCCATAACAATTTCATCGTTCCTATAAAATATCTCGTCCGTCTTAAGAGGCCACATCCATTGTTTTCCAGCACGTTCCATCACATTTACGGTTGCTCCTACCCTCGAGACATTAGTAATTTGACCAGGAAAATAGCTTTGCTCAAATTGTACAACTACGTACTTTCCCGTTGATTTCTCCACTTTTTGGGATGGGACATTATTTTCTTCAGTGGGCTGTTCATCTCCATCATCGAAAAAATGGTCATCACTTGTACTGTCATCACTCTCCATGTATTTAACTTCGTCCTCATTTTCACTAGAACTATCTGATGATGATCTGTCAGCTCCAATATTTCGTAGACGTTTTCTCTGACGGATGCCAGAGGTTCCAGGTTCAGGATCAACAGTTTTTGTCGTATTTTCAACAGTAAGTGTGTCATTGTTAAAGTCACTACTGCATATGCTTTTACCTGGTGGCACGTTCAGGCTATTCCTTCTTTTTACCTGTCTCCTTTTCGTTGTTTCTGCCCTTACATTGGTAATGCGTTGAATAAAACTGTTACCAACATGCTGATTCAAGTGTGAACTAAGATTGTCTCCTATGATTGCCTTTCGTCCTTCTTGACGTTTTAATATTGGAAGTATAAGATGTAAAAACCAATCCTCAAAAATTTGATAGTCAAACCATCCTGAAGCCGTCCTATTATATCGCGCGTTTGGCGGTCCATTTTCGGTCCAGGTGTTCCATAATTTTTGAGGTTTATAATTGACGTAAAGTGGTGCTATTCGGCGTTTCCGCATACTATTAATGAGGTACAGGCTTTAGGTGAGTTCCTGATACGTTCAGGATACTTCGTTCCTCTTTTGGTTACTATTTTTGTCTGTCCCGGGTCATCAACTAGGTTAGTCTTATTATTATTGTTCTTAAAAGGTTTAATATTGTTGCCCTGCCGGTCCAAATAGGACTTTACTACACATCGAAGGTCAAATGTGCTTACTGGAAAACCAAAAGCTGACACAGTAATTACATGGGCTGCAAATATATTTTCTTCCTCCTCAGTAAACACTTCTTGTTGTCCAGGTTTGTTCATACGTCTCTCTTTTACTTTCAGCCATAAAGTATTTCGATGGATAATATATTTTTCTGCAGCACCGCGTAGTGAAATCCGTTTACTCCTTATCTCGTGAAGAGCTTCTGCTAATTTTTCTTGTGTATAATTTTTGTAATTGCGACTACCAATTTTTCTTCTATACACTCATGGCATTGTATCTGAAAAATTACACATTTTGCGTTTCAATAATACCTTCATAAACATTCAAGGGCTAATTGTAACCAATTTTTAAAAAATGTGTTATACAAAGTGAAAAATAACTTCGAAACGGTATAATTCTAACACTGAGGCGTGAAAACGTTCGTATTTTAATATAAACCTACCTTGGTGGAAAAATCTTTTAATATATTTTCTGACCAACACAAAGTTTGCACACAAAACGAAATCCACCTGTTTACTCGATTATCGAGAACTATTGATCAAACGGCATAGATGGCGCACCTAGTCCACTATTGAAATATAAAATTTGAATTATACTACCGCCTTTAGGCCCGTATCGTCAGTCGTCCCTACAATTGTAGGGCGCCTTTATGGCCTCCTTGATTGTCATAGTTTTCTACTTCTCCGTGTCAGAACTCTATTTTGAGGTTATGTCACAAACATCTATTTGCATCAAATTGTACTTGCTTCTGAGTTATATCATGTTTTATCAGCCTGAAATTTCCTACAATTTAAAAAGAAAACATATCTTCACAATAGGAGAGCGCTGACGCTGACACGGGACAAGTGTAATCTGGAAATTTTTGAAGGAGAGGAGTATGACAATCAAGGAGGCCATAAACGCGCCCTACAATTGTAGGGACGACTGACGATACGGGCCTTAGCCACTTGGTAAAAATAGAAAATTTAATCATAGATGTCACTGTCACAAAGTAGCCCCTCTTTACGGTATACAGGTTGGTGTATTAAAAAAACAAGTTAAAAAATAAATACAGCACAATATTAATTTATCTATATACTTTTGTCCATTACTATATGTCAATTTATAATATTTACCCAATGATATCAGCTGTAATAATAAACAACGGAAACAGTAGGATTAGAACGTCTGTTATTTTCCTAAGATGAAGAGTTGTAATCTTCAGATAAATTTAGGTCACGAGTGTCCTTGAATGTTCTCCATTCATCCAAGTGTCAAAAGACATACTATTGTTGGTCCTAACTCATTTTGCATAGAAAAAAATAAGATAGGAAAACTGTGAAAATTGAGCCTTCCTAGAATCATTCAGACGAAAATGATTAGAATCAGCAGATAGATGTCGAAAATATCGCAAGTAAGGTTCAGAAAATATTTGCTGTGATTCATTATTATTCTAAAAATGGTTTTAAGCACTCGGATACTCTCAGGGCTCAATTCTTAAAAACGAGTAGAAAAATTAGCAGAAAGTATCCCATTACATTTTCTGGCAGATCTTGATGTATGTTTTTTTTCTTGGTCCAACCACCACGAAGGCCTAAGGCCTAAACACCCATGGGGTACCATGGGCTATAGGGGGATACAGGGGAAAGGGGGAATGCTACACAGACTCTGGCGAGGGAACACGTGTGCATGCAACATGCACACATTCTGGCCCCGCCTACGAGATCCGTCGGGTGGTACGAGGGATGTCTTTTAAGTTTTGCATAGGGTAAGTCCGGGAGAGATCGACCACATTTTGGAAAAAATATTGTAAATATTTTGGTTTCTGAGGTACACGTTTTTTTAACTGTTGAAGCATTACCTAAAGGGTTAGGATAGTAAATAAATCACAATTTAAGATATAATACAAACATAAATGTTTATTTTGAACTAAAAGTTTAAACATTGTAACTGGTCGATCTCACCCGGATGTCCGGGTTAGACCGACCACCAACTACGGGTGAGATCGACTTCGAAAAATAAGAAAACATAGAATAATAAAACATGTTTGAACAGTATAATAATAAGGGTAGAATTAAATCGTATAAATACATTTAATTTTTTCGACTTCTCTTGTTAAATTTTCCGCATATATCGCAAATATTCTCGATTTTTGAGCATCCATTATGAAACCAACGACTACAGTTCACACATTTGAGCCATTCGTCATTCTTAGTGGTTTTAAAATAATTTTCCCCACATCCTACGTATTCGTTTTCGTCCCATTCATCTGCTGATGTATCACTTTCCTGCAATACTGGACTTTCGCTCACCGAATCTGAATCTTCTAATGTTTTTTTTCTGTTTAACCACAGTTTTTTTTCTGAATTGGGCATTTGTTTTTTTCTTTGTTTTCTTTTTATCCTTCTGAATCTCAATTCGTTGTGAACTGTTTAAAATAGTTGCAAGCTGCCTACCTCGTGTTTTGACCACTGCTTTTGCGTTAGTTTTGGGAACAGTGAGAACATTTTCTAAAAGGGTAAAATAGTGTTTCACAAACAGACGGTTCATTTCAGTCGCTCTGTTAATAGAAATTCCTTCGGCTTTTCTAATCGATATATCAGGATATCGACGTAAAAACGAGTTAAGCCAATCATAACCGGCCTTGCCTCTTTCTTTATTAAATGTGTGCTTCAGTTTTAATTTTTCTACAAGTTGAAAAGCCCATATTCTGACGGACTCCCGATCTGGTGCAAATCCAAATGTTTGCAATTTTTTATGTGTCGCACCAATTTTAGTTCTGCATCTTCTCCCAACGCTGATGACAGACCTAACCTATGTTGTTTTATTGCGTCCCCCTTCTTAATCCTATCTTTTAGCGTTGTTTTAGGTATTCCAAATTGTCTGGCGGCTTCATTTACACCCATTGTACGATTTTGTACACATTCAATTGCGTTTCTTAAAGAACCGGCACTCCATTTAGCTGTCTCTTCATTTTTCCTTTTGTAAGTCGTGGGCATTTTTGTTAATCTGAAACAATATTATTTTACAATAAATTAATTTTTTCAAATTGAGCTTTATTGTATCACTAATTTCCTTCAGACCGCCGAATATTTCATTAATACTATTATTATTTCCATGGTGGGTCTCTCCCGGATTGATGTGGTCGTACTCTACCAAAGTTAAGGGAGAGATCGACCACCTTGTTAACCGAAGGAAAAATTCATAAATGCCTACATTTTTGGGGTTATGTTATAGTTTGATGCATATTTTATCATCCAGTATTGAAACAGTTCAATTAAACTTACCCGTCTTTAAAATATCACGTACACAGTAAATCAGTCAAAAAATTCTCAAGTTAGCACAAATTTTTAAATTTGATTTGTACATTTATACTACTGTTACGGGGCGTGTTTACGTGTTCCATGTAACAAGGTCAACTAATCGCATCATACATGTGAGTCACGGATTCATCTATTGCTTTGTGATTAAGTTCCGGCAGTGGTCGGTCTCTCCCGGTGGTCGATCTCTACCGGAATTACCCTATGGAAATAAAATAACACGGTAGGTAGTTTTAAATGACTTCGAAGTATTCTATACGAAGATTAATACACATCTGCATGCGCTCGAACCAATTTTCGAAGTACTTATTCCACTCGTTTGTTGGCAGATCCAAAACGGCATTTTTGAATGCGTCAACTGCTTTTTCTGTTGACTGGAACCTTTGACCACCCAGTCTGTTTTTAGTTTTCGGGAAAGTAAAGAAATCGTTAGAACTTAGATCGGGACTATATGGACGATGGTCCAATAATTCCTCGTTTTCTTCCGTTAAATACTGCCTTGTTTTTTGGGCTGTGTGCGAGCTTGCATTGTCTTGGTGGAGAATGATTCTTCTTCTTCTCTCATACCATTCGTAATTTCCAACAACGTATTAAAATAAATATTTGGGCGGGTATTCTTGACGATCAGGTAATTGGCCCTTTCGAGTTACCCCCAAAGTTGTCAGGAGAAGGATACCTTAGCTTTCTAGCCAATAACCTACCAGAACTTTTGGAACAGACCTTAGACAACATTCCATTACAACGGAGACAGAATTTGTGGTTTCTTCATGACAGGGCACCACCACACATTTTTAGAGGCGTCATTCAGTATTTGAATGAACATTATCCAAATCGCTGGATCGGTCGAAATGCTCCTGATCCTCGAAAATGGCCAGCAAGATCTCCTGACTTCAGTCCGATGGATTTCTGGTATGGGGGAGAACTTAAAGGGATGGCTTATGTGGCTGGTCCAATAACAACTGAAGCACAACTTCGCGAGAAAAAATTTAATGCGGCGCAAATAATAAATGGACAACTTCTAGGACCTAGAATAAGGATAAACTGGGTTCGTCGTGTGTGGAAAGTGGAGGACGACATTTTGAACGCCCTCTTTAGATACAAGAAAGTGCAGTGTGGGTTTTAAAAAGAAAAACAATGTATGTATCAAAATTGTGTTCCTTATTTATAAGTGGAATTTTTTAATACATTCAATAAACTTTCACACACCAGGTGAAGCGCTGAGACAGTTAGTGGTAAGTTCGTTTTTTTAATTGTTTTTTTTTACGAGTACATTATCAAATAATGAAACAATACCTAAGAGCCAAGAATAACAAACTCCATCTTTATTTACACTGCGTTCCGTCGTGATTTGCGTCTGGCATTGCGGCGTTGTCAGATTTTATTTTACTTTAAAGTCGCTTTTTTCTAAAAAAATGCCGTTTTGACCCCCATGTTATATAAAACTTTTTGCTTCTTTTAACTCCCTCTATCACCCATTTAAATAATGACTATCATAACGTTTACATCCTGTATGTATGTTGTTTTGTAAGTCAAGCCATTGGACAAAATAGGAAATAATCCCTGAAATTATCTATCAGTTTATATGGTGTGGCCTTCTTAAGATCATAAAAATAGCCTGTAATGGCTAAAATGCATTATAAGTCCAATGCATGCTTTAAAAAACATTACCTCTATGTTGTGATTACTTCGTGCTAAGAAAGTATTCTGGTAGAGAAAAACGTTCGTTCAAAATAAGGTCTGATGGACGTTTGTAGTTTCCAACTCCTAAAACAGAATAGTAGCAAAACAACTAATTGATTATTAACAAATAGTATTCTGTCTTAGTCGGGCGCAGTCCGGATTTTAAGCAGGCGTCAGCTGTGCAACTGCACTGCTTCATATAACAGACGATATAATACAATTGTGAGATGAGAATCAGTCAACCATCCTTGTCCGGTTAGATTTTAGTAAGACTTTTGACGCGATAGATTATGTAACGCCTTTAGCTATCGTAAAATCCTGCGGCAGGGGTATTACGTAACTTGAAAAGTGACTTTATCTCGGTTTTTTTAGACATTATATAGGTTTTTTACCTAATAACCCTGCCGAGCATGTCTCAAGCCCTTGCAGGTTTTCAAATCGTACTTGGAAAATCGTAGTCAAACAGTCAAGCTTGGTTCTCGAAAATCTCCATCCATGCCAATAATGAATAATATAATATAATAATTCAATTTGGTGTGCCGCAAGGTACTGTGTTGAGACCATTGCTTTAGGCACTAGTCAGTTTACCAAAAGCAGCTCAGCACATACCTAACATATCGTCGGCTTTCTCACGAAGTGTCCTAACTAACGGTTAGTAAATTTAACAGGAGAGCAAGAAAACGAAATCAGCGTGTTGTTGATTGAGCATTGTATGTAAAGTTTAGATATTTCCGAATTGAAAATTCAAGTTTATTAGCCTACATTCATTGTGAATCATATGCCGTTTCAATATTTGCGGTAGCTTATCAAGTTTTTTGCTGCCAACTCCACCATGGACGTCCCCACCAACGCCCAAGTGCCGTCAATTCAAAGGGTTCCCCACACTATGCGGGAGGTAACATTCAGGCATAAGACCGTAAGACGAGTGCTCTTGTCGCTCGGCATTAACAAAGCTTCTGGTCCGGACTTGATTCCTGCCACTGTACTGAAGAGATGTGCAGCTGAGCTTGCTCCAGTTCTTTCGCGTCTCTTCCAGATATCTTATGAATCCGGCACCTTCCCAGAAAACTGGAAATTTGCTCATGTACAGCCCATCCCAAAAAAAGGATCTAAAACCGACCCTTACAACTACAGGCCTATAGCTCTGCTTTCTGTTATAAGTAAAGTGATGGAGAGGTGCATAAATCGCGAGCTTCTGGACTACCTCGAACGTCACAGCTTGATTAGCGACAGGCAGTATGGTTTCCGGCACCAACGATCCACAGGGGACCTCCTAGCTTACGTCACGCAACTGTGGAGTAAACTCATCCAGTCTCATGGTGAGGCTCATGTCGTTGCTCTTGACATCACGAAAGCGTTCGATCAGCTGTGGCACGCTGCCCTCTTGAGCAAACTTCCATCCTACGGCCTCCCAGAAAAGCTTTGCAGATGGTCGGCTGACTTTATCTCTGGCCGCAAGATATCCGTCGTAATTGACGGATTCTCCTCTTCATCCCACAACGTCAACGCGGGTGTTCCCCAGGGATCGGTCTTGGCTCCAACACTGTTTCTCTTACATATCAACGACCTCCTTTCCTGCACGATCAACCCAATCCACAGCTTCGCTGATGACAGCACTCTACATGCAGGAATTCAGAGTGACAAGCCGATCTCTGCCGCTGAGCTGGAAAAAAGAAGACTAGCGACGACTTCTTCTCTGACAAGAGACCTGGAGGCTATCACTGCTTGGGGACGCAACTATCTTGTACAGTTCAATGCTTCCAAAACACAGTACTGTACTTTGATGAACAAAAAGCGTCCTAGCGCTCATACAGTTTCGATGGACGGTCGAGTTCTACCAAAGAGCCATTCATTTCGGCTGGTCGGAGTCCAGATTACCGAGGACCTGATCTGGCACGAACACATCTCTTCAATAGTTGCAGCTGCTGGGAAAAAGCTAGGCTATTTGTTTAGGGCTAAGAAGTACTTTTCTCCGCATGACCTTCTCACTCTATACAAGGCCCAGATAAGGCCCAGCCTCGAGTATTGCTCTCACATTTGGGGTGCTGCCGCCCCGACTACATTGTCCATGCTCGATGCTGTCCAGAGGAGGGCGGTCCGACTGATCGATGACTCTTCTCTAACAGACAGTCTCGAGACTCTTTCGCACCGGCGAGCCGTCGGCGATCTAGCTCTTTTCTATCGCTACACCAACGGGCTTTGCTCCTCAGAGCTCTCTTCCATGATGCCGCCGCGCGATGTGCCTGCCAGACAGACCCGCCAGACTTCGGCGTCCCATCCTAACCGTGTCAAACTTCGTACATCCAGAACTGGCCGATACGACCGCTCCTTTGTCCCGAGGGTGTCTAGATTGTGGAACAATCTACGGGAGGAAGCTGTTCTACTAACCTTAGGCAGTTCAAAAATCGTATCAACAAAATTTCTTTGGGATCATCATAGCAGCCGCGGTGTTCCGGCATTTAGGCTTCTGCCTGCGCGGCTGTTTCGATATAAAAAAAAAAAAAAATCAAGTTATTTTGGAAAAAAATGGAAAAACGTAGGTCACTTCGTGAGAATTTTCAGAAGATTTTTGTCAGATAGAGCTAAAATATATTTTTATTGAAGTTGTTGTTATTATACTTTTTTAAGATATACAGAATTTGTTTCATTTACTTATAAGCAAAGAATCATATTTCGAGCCGTGGGGGCGATTATCTCAGAAAATTTGTTGATTGTTTAATGTTTTAAGTAATCTCTGGTCTGCTGACAGCAGAATTTATGTGAAAAAGTTCAGATCGACTTTTGAATTTTGGCTACCCACTAAAATATTTCCCTCAATGTCTATGCCTAAAATTGATGTAGATTATGACACAAATATTAGGTGATGAGATGAAGAAAACAACTCGAAACGTCAAAGCAATTTTTATTGAAATAAAAACTAAAAGAAAAGCAACTAACTTAAATATTATATAATAATAATAATAATAATAATAATAAATGTCTTTATTAATCAGCATACATCAGTGAGGCGAAGTTTAGCCAAATGGCTACTCTTACACTTAACCTCACTGTGTACGAAAGAGTAACACAGTTAAACTCGATACACAAACAAACAATAGTAATAATAAGAAAAAGAAACAAATGCACACTTGAACTATTAATATAATAATAATAATAATAATAATAAAGTGTCATAAAAATAAAACAAACCAACAACTCAAACACTGAGAGACGATTGCATCTCCAATAGCTGTTTTCCAACTGATTTCTTAAAAGAGAGTAAACTTTCTTGTTTGTTAGCCGCACTGACTGAATTGTAAATCTCAACAGCATTATACGTGAAAGATCTCTGATATAATGAGGTGTAGTGAAGAGGAATATTGAACTGTTCGCCATGACGTAACCTTCTTGAAATTAAATTCTTA